ATCATGCAACCATCGAGGCCAGGTCAAGTGGGTACTATCTGCAAGTATGGGTGCTCTTGTGCATCTCCCCTCACTGCATATCAGCTGGATGCTTCATTCTCTGATCCAGTCTTCCGTGGCCACGTCATTGCCCCTGGGCACAGGAGTCCCCAGGTCACGCCGTAACTGCTGGCCATCCAGGTCTCCACCTGTCACCCTTGTATATATCTCTTATACATTTTCTGTCCATTTATCTTTCTATGTTTCAATGTGAATATTTTCTATGAATCCTACTTTCAGTCTTCTTGGCTGGATCTAATGTGTTATTAATAAAGTCAACTATTATATTTATTTCATTTATCGTATTTATTATTTCTAGATTTTCAGTTTGATTCTTTTTTGTAGATTTTACTTCGCTAGTGGAATTCTCCATTATACTAACCATAATTATTTTAAAGATTTTGTTTAATAACTCCAGGATCTATATTGTCTTTGGATCTATTTATGTTATCTATTTATGTTTTTGTTTTTAGCTATTTGTTTCTGATCAAACAATAACTAGTGAATTTTAATTAAATAATTTAAAAAAACTGAGTCTCTAATGGTGGTAGCCTACTCCACAGAGGACTTCATTGTTTTCTGTCAGGGAGCTAGAATCTGGAGAATACACCTCAATTTAGTTGAGTGTAGATTTAATGGGTATTGAGGACTGGTCTCTTTCCAGTTTTCCCATTTTCTAGACTGTGACCTTTCAGGAGGAACCAGTCCCTGGAGAAAGACATCATGCTTGGTAAAGTGGAGAGTCAGCAAATAAAAGGAAGATCCCCAATGAGATAGATTGACACAGTGGCAGCCACAATGGGCTCAAGTTTAACAATGATTGTGAGGATGGTGCAGGACCAGGCAGTGTTTCATTATGTTGTGCATAGGATCACTATGAGTTGGAATCAACTCGAGGGCACCTAGCAACAACAGCCTTTCAGGTGTCTAAATGAAAATACAAGGGAAGCTCACCAGGTACCTCTACCTTAGCAAATCCTCTATACTCCTAGCATTGCAAGTTTACTACAATCTCTGTCTAGTTTTTAGTCTCCCAGTGGTTGCTTTTAGTTTAAGAGTAAACAAAGACGTTAAGGAAAAATTGCATGGCACATTTTAGCCTCATCTCACTTGTTTCCACCAAGCTTTGGTCACCTGTTTGACTATTTCTAGATTTCTGATATTAAGCAAGTTATTTAACCTTTTCTGCCTGACTATTTTCATCTGTGAAAACATGTTGTTAGGGTTAAATAGAAAGTATTCAGAGTGCTCTTTTGGCATATAGTAAGTATGCGGAAATATTAACTTTTTGTTAATATTGTTGTCATACAGGCTAGTGTCAGTCTTTCTTAGAAATACTGACCCCACCTGATGTTGCTTGCTTACTTAAAATCATAAGCAAAGAAGTGATCTTAGCGTAAACCAATGGAGATTGTGTGGATACTCACCAAATCAATTATGCCAATGTTATTCCAGCCTTGCATTATAGGGAGAAAAGAAATAAACATTGGGATGACCCAGCAGCCTCCTAGCATTAGTGCGATGCGCAGAGGGGTCATCTTGTTCCTATAGACCAAAGGCTGACAGCAGATGGCATAGTACCTGGAGAGAGAATAGAGAGAGTAAGTGCCATGGATGAGAACAAATGGGAGGGATAGGAATGGGTCAATAATAGATGAGAGAGAACAGGAGAGAAGAAAAACAATGGAGATATATAATAATGATAGAGAAGAGGAACTTTTGAGAGACAAGATTGAAGGGAAAAGTAAAGAATAAAAATGAGGAAGGAAGAAAGGAAAGAATAATGGGGGGAAGTAGAAATGGGCAGTAAAGGAAGAGAAAGAGAATCAAGAAAAGAAAGGAAAAAGTGATAGTGTAATAGTATATGAATTCTGGACAAAGAGTTTCTGCTAATGCAAGTGTATTATTTATGGTACATTTAATCATCACTGCCTAGAGTTCCTCTTCTTCCAGTATCTATAGGTGCATAACACACACAAATCTCAACATTTTACAGAGGTTTGTCCAGCTCTTTGGGTCTCAATATCCAGTCACCTTGCAACCGTCTTTTAGTAATTCTGTTTCCAATGTGAAATAACCTAAGTTTGGCTCAACATCTCATATCTGAAAACTTTTTCTTTGATCTGTCCTCTTCTTCTTTATCAACCACCTAAACAACACCATATTAAATGGAGAAAAGATTTAAGGCATCACAGATTGAAGTAGAAAACTTAAACAGACCTATAACAAAAGAAGAAACTGATCAGGTAATTCAAAACCTCTCAACAAAAGAAGTCCAGTTCCAGATATTTTTACTGGTGAATTCTACAATATTCAGAGGAGAACTTGACACCAATTCTATTTAAACTATTCTAAGACATAAAATAAATAAATAAATAAATAAATAAATAAATAAATAAATAAATAAATAAATAAATAAAAACTCCCAAATTAATTTTATGAAGCAAACATAACCCTGACACCAAAACCAGGCAAAAACTCACTAAAAAAGAAAAATATTGACCAATATCCCTCATGAACATAGGTACAAAGAGTCTCAACAAAATTGTAGCCGACAGAATCCAACAACATATCAAAACAATATTACACAGTGACCAACTGGTAGGGTGGAGGGTCAGAGAAAAATAGGAAGACCACAAATGAGATGGATCGGCAAAGTAGCAGCATCAATGGGCTCAAGCATGGCAACGATAGTGAGGTTGGCCCAGGATCGGGCAGTGTTTCATTCTGCTGTACATAAGGTCGCTATGAGTTGGTACCAACTTGATGGCACCTAACAACAACATGCCAGGATGGTTTGATGTTAGAAAAATAATTCAACATAATCCACCACATAAATAAAACAAAGGAAAATAACCAAATGATCATATCTACTGATATAAAAAAAGGCATTTGACAAAATCCATCACCCATTCCTTGTTAAAACACTAAATAAAATAGGATTAGAAGAGAAATATCTCAACGTACGTAAGGGTATTTATACAAAACCATCAGTCAACATTACTCTCAACAGAGGAAACTTTAAGTATTCTCCATGCAATCAGGAGATTTATACAACCAGGCAAGGATGTCCTTTATCAGAACTCCTATTTAACATTGTGCTGGAAGTTTTAGCCAGCTATAAGGCAAGAAAAGGAATTTAAAGGCATCAACATTGGTAAAGATGTAGCATCTATTTGCAGATGATATAATCTCACACATAGAAAATCTTAAGGACTCATTGAGAAAATTATTGGAATTCATTGAAAGATTCAGCAAAATGTCAGGGTACAAGATCAACATACAAAAATCATTCAGATTCCTTTACACTAATAAAAAGAGCTCTGAAGAGAAAATCAGGAAATCAATATCATTTGCAATAGCCACCCAAAAGATGCAATACTTAGGAATAAATCTAACCAGAGGGGAAAAAAGACATACACAAAGAAAATTACCCAACACTGCTACAAGAAACCAAAATGAGACCTACAAAACCGTTAGAATATACTATGCTCATGGATAGGAAGACTTAACATTGTGAAAATGTCAGTACTTCCCAAAGCAATCTATAGATGGAATACAATCCCAATCCTGATTCCAAAATGATCCTTTAAAGTGATAGGAAAATTAATCACTAAATGTATGTCAAAAGGAAAGAGACCTTGGATAGGCAAAACATAACTAAAGAAGAATAAAGTAGGAGGTCATTCGCTTCCTGGTTTCAAACACTACTGCATAGCTACAGAAGTCAAAACAACCTTGCACTAGTATTTGACACATAGATCAATTGAACTGAACTGAATTCCCAGAAGTAAATACATCCACCAATGATCAGCTGTTATGTGGAAAAGGGCCAAAACATATTTAATGGTAAATAAATAGTCCCTGGTACTGGCAAAACTGCATATCTCTTTGAAGAAGAACGAAACAAGATCCATATCTCACACCATATGAATAAACAAGTTCAAGCTAGATCAAAGACCTACCTATAAAACTTAGAATTATAAAGATCATCAATAAAAAAAACACAGACAAACTTAGGGGCTCTAATATATGGCATAAATACACTATTAAACAAACTGAAAATACTCAAATAGCAGAAAACAAATTGGATGACTGGGATCTCCCAAAACTTAGACACATGTGTGCATCAAAAAATTTCACTAAAAGAGTAAAAAGAGAATACACAGACTTGGATATATATATATATATATATATATATATATATATATATATATATATTGCAATGACATGTCAGACAAAGGACTAATCTCTAAAGTTTATAGAAAACTTCAACACTTCAACAAGAAAACGACAAAAAGACAAAAGACAAACAATGCAATTTAAAAATGGGCAAACAACATGAACAGACACTTCACCAAAGAAGACATTCAGATGATCAACAAACATATGAAGAAATATTTGTGATCATTAAGAGATGCAAATCCAAACAACTATGAGATATCATTCCTCCCCAGCATTTATAGTAAAGTTCAAAAAAACAACAAATTCTGACAAAAGGTATGGATAGACTGGGAATCTCCTACACTGATGGTGAGACTTTAAAATGTGGAAATGGTATGTCACTTCTTCAAAGAGTTGGAAATAGAAATACTACATGAACCAGCAATTCATCTGCTTGGTATATACCCTCAATAAATCAGAGCCGTGACACAAATAGATGTATGCATGCCAATGTTTATCACAACACTATTCACAATAGCAAAATGATGGAGACAGCCTAAGTGCCAATCAATTGGAGAATGGATACACAAATGTTGATACACACACACAATGAAATATTATGTGTTAACTAATAATGTTGAATCTGGGAAACACCTTACAACATGGATGAACCTGGAGGACATTATGTTGAGTGAAAATATCCAATCACAAAAGGGCAAATATTTTATGAGACCACTATGATAAAAAGTTAAGAAAGGTTCTCATGCTAAAAAAATCATTCTTTGATGATTACTCGAGGTGGGAACGAAGGGGCAGAAATTCACTAGCTAGAGAGTAGACATGTAACTTGGGTTATAGGGAAGGCAATCTACTCCAAGAATAGGTGAGAAGGAGAATGATAAAGGCAGGGAAAGACACAGAGAAGAGTACAAAAGTTAAAGGTAATGGAGGTAAATACTGTTATCTACACAATCCTGCAATAGCGAGATCTACAAATAGATATGGAGTCCTGGTGTGACACCATGGAATAATGCATTGGACCACAATGTCAGTTTGAACTGCAAGGTTGGTGGTTCAAATACACCAGTCACTACTTGGAAACCCTATACAGGTCGCCTATGAGTCGGAACCAACTCGACGGCACTTAACAACAACAATATGCTCCACAACATTCATGGATATGTTAGTAGCAAAGATAAACACCCATGTAAAAAATATCTAATGTCATACCTTTATATGTTTATAAGCATACTTCCACTCTCCCTTCCATACTTATTCATCCATATATCTACGGCACTTAACAACTATAGGTTGAACTGGTTTCGACTCACAGCCACCCAGCATAGGGTTTCCAAGGAGTATTTGGTGGGTTTGAACTGCAAACCTTGTGGTTCACAGTCCAGTGTTGATTCTGCTGCACCTTCTAAGACATTACCAGACACCTTGAGGAATGATTTGTTGGTTCTCGGGCCTCAAAACCATATCATCAGGGGACAACATGGTCATTTGGATTAACATAGCCCACAAAGACAATATTCTATATCCAAATTTGGTGAGTAGCTGTTAGAATCTTAAAAGTTCATGAGTAACCGTCTAAAATGCAAATATTGGTCTCTTCCTGTGTGGAGGGGGAAAAAGTGATGAAAACTGAAGATGCTTAGAAACAATTAGTTTCCATGACACTGTGACTAGAGAGCTAGATATTGCCCAGCTACAACTACTAATTGTTCTGAAAGGGTTCACATTAGAAGGTCCTAGATAGATGGGGAGAAAACGGAAAACAAAACTCAAAATCATAAAATAAACCAGGCTTACTGATGAGAAGCAGACTGCCACAGCACTACTCACAATAGCAAAATGATGGAGATAGCCTAAACACTGATCAAGTGGAGAATGGAAAACATATTTTGATACACGCATACAATGAAATATTGTATATTAAGGAATAATGACAAAGTAGAGTCTTAAGCACAAAGCACATCATCTGGAGTTAGGAAGTGCTAAGAGCCAAGTTTTGGTATATGGGGGTGGGGGTGTGTGGAGAGGTGGCATCAACACTAGTGAGGTAGGTACACCATAGAATGGTCAATCATTCGAGATCACAAGGGCAGTATTTAACTACAGTCAAAATTCAGAAGGGTTGGGAAAGAAAGAGAAATAAGGAGGTTGGGAAATAAGAACCACAGGGAAGAAATGATGTTACACTGAGGGAACTGTAATCATTGAGATTCAGTGAGGTGTATGATTTGTTGAATGTAAAACTGATCATCTGTTCTGTAAACCTTCACTCAATTCCTAGTAAAAAGGTTAAAAAAAAAAAAAAAAGATTGAAATTGTCAAAGATTTCATTTTACTTCCTCATGGAAGTAGCAGTCAAGAAATCAAGCAATGTATTTAATACATGGGACAAATCTGCT